TGTTCAGTTATTTTAGGCAACCTATATCAGCCAAAAATCACATGGCAGAGAGTCTCCGCTTATGTAAGTATATACACTAGGGTAATTGAATTTGGGTACAGTATTTTTTAGTTTCACCGATCACCCTTTTCTAGCAATCATGAGTAGATATATGAGATATAATAAGAAATTGTCCAAAATTACCAACATCAATGAGAATTGTTCTGAGGTGTCCTCAGAGAAAGATCAATATGACTTAAGGGAACCCCCATTCTCGATTCTTAATACCAATGCTTGTTAAGGTTTGTACCTTTGCACATATATTTTGAATTCACTGAAACTGGAGAAATAGAAGGATCTTCGGATAGTGAAGAGGAAAACTTCAATTTGCATCGTAACAAGAAAAAGACGCGGATTATTTCTAGTTCTGACACCGAGGATGAAGATGAAGGAAGATTATTCATAGTACATTCCGACACATTACTTACTTACTTAGCTGGCTTCTTACAGAACGGTTGTTCCATAAGCCGAGCTTAAAAAAGATTTCCAAGCGCGTCGGTCTTGTGCGCAAGTCCACCAATTTGGAAGACCATGTTCCAAAATGTTGTTTTCTACTTGGTCTTTCCATCTAATTCGTGGCCTTCCTCTTCTACGGGAACCATCAGTAGGCTCATTTTTATATGCCTTTTGAGCTGGGGCATTTTCATTCATCCGCACAACATGGCCTAGCCACCGTAGTCGCTGCAGCTCAATACGACTGACTATGTCGATGTCCGCGTATAAATTGTAAAGCTCATGGTTCATTCGACACCGATATTCACCGTCGACGCAGATCGGCCCGTAGATCTTTCGGAGAAATTTTCTCTCAAACACCCCAAGACCTGCCTCATCTGCTTGCGCAAGTACCCATGCTTCTGATCCATATAATAGCACGGGTAGTATCAGCGTCTTGTAAAGTGTGAGTTTGGTCTGGCGGGAGGTGGCCTTGTTCCTAAACTGCTTACTTAGACCATAGTAGCATCTGTTGGCCATCACAATCCTTATCCGAATTTCAAAACTGATGTCATTTGTTTTTTTTATGGCCGTACCAAGGTATATAAGGTCTTTAACTACCTCGAAGCTGTATTGTATTTGTTCAAAGGTGGCTGTTACCGTTCGCAATGTTCGGCCCATTATATCAATGTCATCGGCGTAGGCGAGTAACATGTGTACAGAGTGTCATTTCTGTTCACCTTTGCGTCTCGTATGACCTTTTCCAGTAGAATGTTAAGGTATTGAAGGGCTCCGATAGGTCCTTTCCTACTTTAACGATTGACATTGTGCCACTTAAAGTTATCCTGCATAGCCGTATTAATTTTGTAGGAATGCCGAACGCATACATGGCTTTAAACACCTCTGAACGGATAGGGCTGTCGAATGCGGCTTTATAGTCGACAAATAGGTGGTATGTGTCGATGTGTTTTTCGTGGGTCTTTTCCAGGATTTGGCGCAGAGTGAAAATCTGGTCAATGGTGGATTTGCCAGGCCTGAAGCCGCATTGGTATGGTCCGATGATGTCATTGACCATTGGCTTCAATCGTTCACACAGCACACTGGATAGCACTTTATATGCGATGGGAAGGAGACTTATTCCTCTATAGTTGGAACATATCGTCTTGTCTCCTTTTTTGTGCACGGGACACAGGATGCTAAGGTTCCAATCATTGGGCATCTGATCTCATCTTGGCTACACTCTATACCGTCATCTCTTATTGTTTCTAGGGTATCTTCTTCACCGCTACTATTTGATACCAGAAGCTTTTCAAAATGTTCGTTCCACATCTTCAACACGCTGTCTGTATCCGTCACTAGGTTTCCATATTCAGCTCTACAGGAGGATGTGCCTGCACCAAAGCCTTGGATTTGGTGTTTTACTCGTTGGTAAAATTTCCGGACTTCATTCTGACTCCTGTACATCTCGCTATGCTCACGCTCACGTTTTTCTTGTCCTTTCTTCTGAAAATTCGTTTCTCGCATTACGTGTTGGTACTGTGTGCAGACTTGATTTGTTTTAGAGTACATTTAGTATGTTTAGTAGTAATGCCAAGTAATCGTAATAGTACAATCATGGCACAATAAAAAGGTAGTCCACTTTGCGCAGCTGATGACTCGATGAACTGTTAAAGCGCAACTCCGGATAATGTCTCATTTCTCCAATTCAACTGCGATGGACTTGGGAAGAAAAAACAGTGCCAAGTGGATTTTATGAATTGCAGAAATATAATGGTGGCGGCGATCCAGGAAACGAAGTTGAATAACACCTACAGTCTTCAAAGGTGTAATACAACGTTTTACGAATTGATCGCACGAGAGGTCGAGATTTAGCATTCCTATAGCACCATTCTGTCCAGTATAGACCTATCACGTTTGACGCCGTTTCAGAGGTTCTTAACATATATCGCCGTTAAATAGTTGTGCCCTATTTTAGGTATGCCGAATAAGTACATACCAAACAGTATAAGGATAGACTCACAATGTTCACTATCGTGTCCCCAGGTCAGACAAATTACGCAATTTGGCAACCCGTCATTTCATTGGGGTCAGATCCCTGTTATTTAATCCATGAATGAACCACTCGACTTCAAAACCTGTTAACCATGGCCTCAGATAACCGTCCAATCCTTCTGGTGCTTCTGTAGCTGAAAGGAATTTTTTCTGTCATCATCGCAGCTGCAGCCGTTCTCTGTAGCAGTAAATGAACTTCGTCGTACTAACTGTACGAACTTGTCGGCGAGCAAAAGCGAAAAAGTTGCTAGAACATCTGAAGTGTTCCAGAGTAAACAAACTGTAAGCAACGGTTAAGTCTCTCCCGAACCCAGGAAGGAAGGATGATTCGAAGTCCGTCTAGTTTATAGACATTGAGATGTGAGGAGAGTTATTTTTACCTGCAATTTGTATAGCACCCCAAGAGCGACAGGAGTGCAATTTGTATAGCACCCCAAGAGCGATATATTCAGAACCACTACAATTGACGTCACCACTACAATTGACGTCACATGATCATCTAAGGCACTTTGTGCGGATGAAATCTCTATGGTGATATTGAAGCAGCTTGATGAGCCAAGAGTAGCAAACCACGCCCTCTAATTGTCGTTAGTCATTCTACTGGTTATCGTTGCCAGGGTGGTACCGCACCTGAAGACAGGCAAGAATGTCCGTAAAGGTGAATCATACAGGCCGATCTCACTTTTGTCGACAGTTGCTAAGACTCTACCGTTCTGAAATTCTAAGCCTAGCGGTTAAGTCGCTCTCGAAATCAGGAAGGTGTTGAGGTATTGCTCATCTTATACTGCGTCCTTAAATGGATGAGGACGTGTGCAGAATGTTCCAGGGTCACCTAAGGCACTTTGTCCGGATGGAATCTCTATGGTAATGTTGAAGCAGCTTGATGAGCTAGGAGCAGCTGGCCAAAGTTATCATTCTCTCATTAGCTATTATAATAGTTGCTTATGCCAGGGTGGCAGGTCGATCTCACTTTTGTCGCCTATAGCTAAGACTTTCTGAAATTCCGCGTCTACCGAAAATTGATGACATTTGCGAGAGCAATGGAAAATACTTAATCCTGCCAGAATGTCGGCCTGAGGATTGCAACAGGGTGTTCCCTCATAACTCTAATAGACCACTTACAAGATCCTTCCAACAAGATGTTTCATTGGGTGTTACATAAGTAGCCATCCGATCCACCACCTATGCATGCCACGAAGGATTTTCATGATCTCAAGAGAGAGTTACAGAGGTACAAAAGAGAACCTCTAGATCAATAGGCCTATCAAGCAGGATTGAATCGTATTCATAGCGATGCAATTGAGGATGGAATTCAAGAATACAGGATGAATACGGGTTGCCTCGGGTTGTCTTGACACAATTGAGATCTGGGTGGTGTAGCTTCCTATTGGTTACTAATTGATGACACGATGGAATATATATGTCCAGTATGCGGTAATTGTCCACATGACACGCTACATCTATTTAACTGTCCAGTAAAATCTACTCACCTAATCCCATTTTCACTGTGGACACATATATAGGCTCCACGCCTATATATGGACAATGAAAAAATATTTTTAAAAAATCCACGCCTATATATGGACAATGAAAAAATATTTTTAAAAAATCCACGCCTATATATGGACAATGAAAAAATATTTTTAAAAAATCCACGCCTATATATGGACAATGAAAAAATATTTTTAAAAAATCCACGCCTATATATGGACAATGAAAAAATATTTTTAAAAAATCCACGCCTATATATGGACAATGAAAAAATATTTTTAAAAAATCCACGCCTATATATGGACAATGAAAAAATATTTTTAAAAAATCCACGCCTATATATGGACAATGAAAAAATATTTTTAAAAAATCCACGCCTATATATGGACAATGAAAAAATATTTTTAAAAAATCCACGCCTATATATGGACAATGAAAAAATATTTTTAAAAAATCCACGCCTATATATGGACAATGAAAAAATATTTTTAAAAAATCCACGCCTATATATGGACAATGAAAAAATATTTTTAAAAAATCCACGCCTATATATGGACAATGAAAAAATATTTTTAAAAAATCCACGCCTATATATGGACAATGAAAAAATATTTTTAAAAAATCCACGCCTATATATGGACAATGAAAAAATATTTTTAAAAAATCCACGCCTATATATGGAGAATGAAAAAATATTTTTAAAAAATCCACGCCTATATATGGACAATGAAAAAATATTTTTAAAAAATCCACGCCTATATATGGACAATGAAAAAATATTTTTAAAAAATCCACGCCTATATATGGACTGAAAAAATATTTAAAAAATCCACGCCTATGGACTGATTTTGGATATTAAAAAAATATTTTTAAAAAATCCACCCAATTAGTGAAGTGGACAGCAGGAAATAGTTTAACGATTTTATAGTTTTTACAAAAATTCACTTTTTATTTTAAATAAAAAATAATATTACATTACTCCACTTCTAAGATTTCTGTACAGTCCAGTATTCCGGATCCATAAGAAGTTCCCTGCAATTAAAAATAAAAAAATAGTATATGTCGAGCATAGCAATCGTATTAAAACGACTACTTCATTTCCAAAACTTTGTTTCTAAATTCGGAACTCAACTCAGCCATGGTTCCAGCATTGCCACCATATTCCTTTGGTAAAATTTCACGTGGTATACTTTCATAGAGACCTTCCAGCCCGTTGGTGTGACATTTAACCTTATATAAACGATATAATTACTATATATTCAATATTTATGCATTTTAACATCTAACTTTCAAGTCCTACCATATCATATAATTCCCTGCTCATAAATGGTCTTAGGAACCCCAAAATTTTATTTATGTACGATGGACAATTAATCAATTGTACCGCATGCATACGACTCGGAAAGGCCTGATAGATATATTTGAAGAAAACACTCAAGGTACCCATGGACAATGCTGCTACATGTTTCATGGTAATGCCCTCCATATCGATGATAATGTTTTCACCCTTGGAAAGTTGAAATCCGGTTGCAGGAAATGACAATCACTAATCATCACATAGGTTTTTATGTCTTCCGTGAAATGTATCTGAAAATATACAATTTTTCAAGATAATTTTGGACTTCTTGTTATGGCATTGGATATTAGAGATTTCCGAGGTCCTAATATAATTCTATTGAAGTTATCTCACCATTTTAGTATCCAAGTTATGAAAGTGTATACAGGTGATGTGATAACTTTCGGGTGTCAATTGGCTCAGTGGAGCAATGTGCCTGTGGGGGATATACGAACCGATTTTCTTTTATATTTATTACATATTTTAATCAGAACCCTTTTATACATACAAATATTTATACATATTATCCGTATCGACATCACTTGGATCCCTATTTACGAAAATCTTTGGATTTTTGAGCCGCAAGGTATAATAGAGTTCCAGCAATTTTTTAGTTTCCTCTATGTCTTTTGATGATCGTTGATAAAGACGCCATAGTAAGGTGCGATCTGAAAATTATTTCAATCGGTTGGTAAATGTTTTTTTGGAATCAATATCCGATGACGTATATATAAGTATTTTGTCGAACATATCAAATATTTGATATGTTGGTAAATAAAACCTTTCGTATAAACAATTAATTTTACAATTAAGATCCTTAAGTTATGCTTTATATTTTATTAAAGTTAGCAAAATGTTAATTTTTTAATTACTGCCTAAAAGTATGCTAAGATTTTAAAAACGCCTCCTGCTATATCGCTGGAACCAATCATGGGAAATTGGTGCACCATTTACATGAAATCAGACGATCTAAACCATTAATACACAAACTAGTACGAAAGCGGTGATGGCTAAACACGTAATCTCTTTCTCTCTCTCTTTTGTTCAGTCATTTTTGATAATTATCTCTCACTTACGCTCTCACACTTACTCTCAATTTTATACTGTTCAACGTTGATCTAAACCAGAGTTGAACAGAATTAAAGTGAGAGTAAATGTGTGAGAGCGTAAGTGAGAGATCCCATTCAAAAATGACTGGCGAAGAGAGAAAAAAGGCAATACGTGTTTAGCCATCACCGCTATCGTACTATTTTGTGCATTAGTGATTTAAACCGATTTCGACAGCTGTCTCAAGTTGGTACGCTGTACGCTTGTCAATCGGACAAACATTGTAAGTGTGGTGCACGATTGTACAATCCGACGAAACTATTTATAGCTGCCATAAATAAATCTGAATCGTTTTTCACCAATTTCAATAGGGTTCGAAACTTATACGTAACTCCACAAATTTTGAAAATACCGAATAATTTTTCAGACTTTGTCCCTTTAAAATGTCACCGATACATGAATGACATCCCATATATTTATTCTGTCTTATTTTTTTTGTTTTTTTTCCTAAAATTTATTTCCTACGCTCCACTATAATTAGCGATAAAGATGCATTGTCTTAAAGTCAGTATATTATTACTAATAATAAAATACAACGTCATTCCATTTATTAAGTTCAATATTTTATTTTCTGGCAATTCATTGCCGGTATTTTGAAGTAATAAAAAATAAATATTATAATTTTTTATACCCTACACAACTATGTTGTCAGGGTATTATAGCTTTGTGCAGCCCCAAGAGTTTGTAATGCCGTGAAATATTGGTTTTAGACCCACCTTTAAGTATAACGATCGTCATATCTCGACTAGCTGAGTCGATCTAGACATATGTGTCCGTCCGTCTGTCCATTATAATTTGTAAACACGAGTCCACAGTTATGGACCAGTCTTCATGAAAATTTGCATGTAGGATGGATTCTGTTTTTTGGTAAAGATCTGTTAATATTTAGGGGATGAAATGGACCAAATACTTAATTTTTGTCGGTTTTTCTGGTCGCTCCAGAGGCCGCAATTATGGCCCAAACATGGCGAATGGAGAAGGGGATCGGGCCAAAGAATAAGCCTGCCTGTTTTGATAAAGATCGGTCAATATGGACCCTAACTTTTGTGTGAAAAATTACAAAATTTGTATTCACTAAAGGACATAGGCCCGAGAAGTTGACTGTATATCCAAGAGGAGTGGTTAAACTTTAAACTTATACCAATTGTATTGTCGTATGTACTCGGATGTGGGAGTTACACTTAAATATTTACAGGTGCTTACATATTCAAGGACAACGCCTATAATTTTCGATGATGATCAGAATAAAATTTTGGGATGAAGTGGACCGAAAACCTATTTTTTTGTGCGTGGCCGAAAATCACAACACAACCCACCGTGAAGGGAACCATGACAAGTAACTAGGGGCTGTACTGAATATTTATAATATTCGGAAAATATGCTGTAGACCTCTAATCGAGCAAGTCGCGGCAAATATTACGAAATATTGCTCAGGCTCGGAATAAACATCCGCAGAAAGTTAGAGTTCCTTGATAGTTGTGTAGGGTATCATATGGTCGGCCCCGTCCGACTATACTGCTAATAACAAAAAATAAGAAGAATACATTCTGAAGTCTATTTTTGAAGATGTGAAAAGTGCTGTATTGTTTTCGGTTTTAGCGGATGAAACTATATATGTATAAGATATTTGACAAGGTATCAAGGACAAAGAATATTTCCTTTGCTACGCAGAATTAGAAGGATTAACAGGAAAATAATTATTGACCATCATAATAAACACAGTAATCAGTATGGGTTTAAATGCAATATTTTTTTGTGTTCTTTTCACATTTAAAATTGTAGTTTAAATGCAGCTTCTAAGATTCGAGAAATTCGAAGTATATTTTCTACAATTTTGGGAATTCGCTCATTCTTTAGAAAATCCAAAAAGTCTGCTACTTTATGTAAAATTCTTTTAGAAGCAAACTCTTGTTTGGTGGCACTGCCTGCATCATAAGTCGACTTCCAGCAAACTAGACAATGTACAAAGAGCCGCCACGATTCTAATAACTGGAGCCGCGAGGAGCACCCCACAACTATACGCCCATGTGGCTGTTGGTGGATTTCAGAGGGTAGTGGCAAATGATTTAAATATATATATATATATATATATATCACAACAATGTGTAAAATATTGTGGAGAGTAATGAAAGTCCAGGAAGACAAAGTGTGTGCAGCGTGTATAAACATTAATTTGAGTAAAGATAAAGTGAGGTTATCCAAATTGCATTTTTATTAACATTTCTGATTTCCAGGAGTGTAGATGGAACACACATGTGGTTGAACTAACCACATGAAAACTCATCTTTATACTACAATAGAAAAGGATACTTCAGAATAAATGCAATGATTGTAAGGAAAACAATGTAGATAATCGTAAAACTAATTTTTCTTTTTCTGTTAGATTTGTGAGAATTCGAGACCAGGAGCATTAACATAAGAGCAAATGTTATGCAAAATAGTTGGCTTCTAAGAGACAGTGGTTACGCTTTAGAAACATTTTTGATGACGCTCTATTAACAAGTGGAGCATGGATCTTTTCAACATCGATATAATAAAGTGCACTATTGGAAATCTTAAAAGTAGATTTTTTATAGATTGTATTTTTATTTTGATCATATGGTGGTTGAGTTGCCATATTGATCTCAAAAATGTTACGCAATAATTTTTTTTATAAAAACTAATTTAAATACTGTATTTTTAAAAATATGGTAAAAACGCGTTAAATATTACTTCAGCGTTCTTTTTCAACTTGTACGTGCTCAGAAAAATACGTACGATCTCATTTCGTTTTCAATCTACAAGGCTATACGTTCTCGAATTATATTTCCAATATTTTTTTGGGAATTCTGAATGGAGCACACCAAATTTGGGAAAATGTTTCTCATTCGAGCTAACTCGAAATGAAGCACATGGGCGATAGTGTTTTACGATTTGGAAAGCAGCGGAATTGATAAAAAGTCTGGATGCAGAGATAGTTGAACCGGTGACTATCTTTGTGTGCCATAAAATACTGTAACATCAATTCTGAGGTCGTCATCGAGTGTAGAGAAGTTTTGGAAGGCGTTCTTCGACGAACGAGCCAATGAACTTTGGTACAACGAACCTAGGTGTAATGTGTCAAGATCTATCTGGCCGATTCTGTCAGCCAAGAGAACAAACTCACTGTTGAACCTGAGAAAAGCTGAAATTAGAGTAATGACAGGAGTCAAAACAATATCAGGGCTTTTACCTGTAAGTGAGACCATGATGTTACTGATTACTGCAGACTCTGTGATGACGAGGAGGAGACGTAGACAATGGAGCATTTCTTGTGTTGTTGTCCAGTCCTGTCCTACAGACGGCACAGATTAGTGGGTGCTCACTTTCCTAAATATGTTGGGAAAGTGCAACCTTGGCACGTAATATGTTTTCTGTCCAAAATTTGTAAACCATTGGCACTAACATTTCGTCAGAAAATTTTTAATGTAGGCTTGCTTTTGCTCAAAGTTTTTGGCGAAGATCGGTTAATATTTAAAACTGTATATGTGTTTGATTTCCTAGCCGCCCTACAGGCGCGTCTTGAAATTATTTTTAAAACGCCAAGGAATGAATGACAATACCAAACATAAATCTTATTAGAACTTTCTTTTTTAAACTTACCAATTTTATTTGGAAATTTTGGATTTTCTTCAAACCATTTTTGCAATGAATCCAACACTGCGTCTTGTTCGTTATCCCCCGCCAATTTCATGATTTTATCGTTTTTTCTTGAACTATGGCTGTAAGTTTAATATTTAGTTATTCTATCGTGGAATTGTTAATTATTTCAATTTATTTTTTAATTGTTTTTTCTCTCCTCTTCTTCTTCGCGTTGTTATTGTTGTTTTTCTGTAAAGCGTATCGTTTGTAAAACTATACAATTAATAAATAAAACACATCGCAGTAAGCGTGGCGATCGTTGAGTACATCTATTCCGACGCTCATCTCCAGCACAATTGATTGTGTTTTTCGCTGTAGATCCGATGCACTGGGCTGGCTATTGTTTATTTAACAGTTATCCGACAACAAAACCTGATGGACCCTATTTTGACGTCCCAGTATTATGACGTCGTAGTAATGTTAGTCAACGTAAATGTAACAATTCAATTTTTTCTAAATACACCTGCACGCACAAACTATGTCTGTTATGTACCCGATTCTGTTATAGTGGGAAGCCCTTGCATTCATTGTTAACTAAATAATCTGTATAGTATGCATAGAATCACTTTCTGAGTCGATTTACGCATGTCCGTCCGTCTGTCCGTTAATGTATTTTTGTGAACAACGTACAGGTCGCATTTATGATCCGATTTGGATGAAATTTGGCATAGGTCACTTATTTGGCCCTAGGACGAACCCTATTGAAATTGGGTAAAATCGGTTCACATTTAGATATAGCTCCCATATATATTTTCGTCCGATTTAATGTAAATGGTCCACTAAAGTGCCTATATATATTTCGATTTGCACGAAATTTGGCACATCGTAATGAATTAGGTGTAGAATGATGTGTGTTAAGTTTCCAGAAAATCGGTTCACATTTAGATATAGCTCCCATATATATTTTCGTCCGATTTAATGTAAATGGTGCACCAAAGTCCCTATATATATTTCGATTTGCACGAAATTTGGCACAGCGCAATTAATTGGGTATAGAATGATGTGTGTTAAGTTTCCTGAAAATCGGTTCAGATTTAGATATAGCTTCCGTATATATTTTCATCCGATTTAATGTAAATGGTCCACTAAAGTTCCTGTATATATTTCGATTTGCACGAAATTTGGCACATCGTAATGAATTAGGTCTAGAATGATGTGTGTTAATTTTCCAGAAAATCGGTTCACATTTAGATATAGCTCCCATATATATTTTCGTCCGATTTAATGTAAATGGTTCACCAAAGTCCCTATATATCTTTCGATTTGCACGATATTTGGCACAGCGCAATGAATTGGGTATAGAATGATGTGTGTTAAGTTTCCTGAAAATCGGTTCAGATTTAGATATAGCTTCCGTATATATTTTCATCCGATTTAATGTAAATGGTCCACTAAAGTGCCTATATATACTTCGATTTGCACGAAATTTGGCACATCGTAATGAATTAGATCTAGAATGATGTGTGTTAAGTTTCCAGAAAATCGGTTCAGATTTAGATATTGCTCCCAATTTGTGAAGGCGAAAATATTACGAATCAGCTTATTTTTCTTAACCTATGTACCAAAAATCATAAATGTGCTCGCAAAAAAAAAAAAATTAATTTTTTTTAATGGAATTTTAAAAGAATTTTGCAATTTCCCATATAGGCCGCTGAAAAAAAAATATTTAAAAAATCTACGCCTTATAAAGGCAACTGAAAAAAATATTTAAAAAAAACCACCCCATATGTAGGTCGCTGAAAAAAAATATTTAAAAATCTACGCCTCATATAGGCAACTGAAAAAATTATTTAAAAAATCCACGCCATATGTAGGTCGCTGAAAAAAAAATATTTCAAAACTCCAAGTCTGATATAGGCTGCTGAATAAAATTATTGAAACCATCTACGCCTTATATAGGCAGCTGAATTAAAATTATTTTAAAATACAAGCCTTATATAGGCAGCTGAATTAAAATTATTTTAAAATCAAAGCCTTATATAGGCCTTGGAAAAATTATTTTAAAATCAAAGCCTTATATAGGTCTTGGAAAAATTATTTAATAAATCCACGCCTTATTTAGGCCTTGGAAAAATTTATTTAAAAAATCGACGCCTTATATAGGCCTTGGAAAAAATTATTTATAAAGTCCACGCCTTATATAGGCCTTGGAAAAAATTATTTAAAAAATCCACGCCTTATATATAATACTAGCTGGACCCGTGGCGCTTCGCTGCCCCTACTAAAGTGATTAACATGGGAAAGTTCACGAAGAAAACTATTAGCATGCACTTTAAAAGCTACCACTTATTGATAGGCATTATATAGGTATTATAGTAGCCAAATTCGAAGATTACTTCGGTTGTAGATAATTCGTAGTGTAATATTCGATTCAATAGATTAGAAATACAGTTTTAAATAATCATTGATTAACAGTGGTGATATTAAAAACAAATTGGCTTGACTTATCGCAATAGGATTATACACTAAAATATTTTCTCCAATATTTAAATGTTTTTCATTAATCGTTCAAAGACCAATACAATCAGTTATTCCTATTTCCACCAACCGTTATGTCTGTATTCTTATCCGATTCCCCAATATATGGCTGGGATCCCTTCCTCGCTCCGATTGATATCGCTTAGATCCCTGCTGTATAATTCCTGTTAAGGTTTTCAAAAGAATGCATTATCACATTATAATATTTTTACCGAACCTAGATTTAGTCTTGGTCTTAACTGTACAGACCTTAGTATTTTTAAGAAAACCAAGATAAAGATCGATGATAGAACTTGTGGCAATTTAGTTAGTCGTTTCCTCTATACCTCTTCGAAATAATAGTTTTTGTCATATCAGTTTGATCAACTAAACTTAATAAGTAATGGAATATTTTGTTTTCAGTTAAGCTATGATGATAACCCACCACAGATTTTAGATTTTTATAACTTTTAATCCGACATCAGTATTTCGCTGCTAGATATCTCCCAATTATTGCTGATTCATACTTTTATTGAATTCATATTTATTTTCCCCAATGGTTGTAGAATTATTAAAATTCAAAAAAAAAAAAAATGTTCCTTAACTGAAATGTTTTTTTTTTTTTTCAAAATGACAAAATGTAAAATGACAATAATTTTCATTTTGCACAAATTTAATTCAAATATGTGAAGATAATGGCTGATGTGACTGACTGTGAAAATTTCTGCGATTTTTGTGTCTACAACCAAAAGCGTTTCTTTTTTCTATATATAGGTGAATTAAATTCAATTGGGAGTAAGTTCTCCCCATTGTTCCACGCCAATTTTTATAGGGATATTGCGTACCTGTATGCAGGTACGCAATTTGCCTGTACTCAGGCAAATTTCGAAGTGAGAATCTGTAACCCTTCTTAAGATATAAGCATAGAATGTCTATGTTATTTCAGAGTTGGGAATACTTTTGATGGTATCACTCGACATCCACGCGGAATTTTAGGATTTTATCTACCCTGTATTTTTTGTATTGGGTAGCATCAGGTGCTGTAAAAATCTCAGTAAAATCTATTCAGCGGTTTTTGACTTTTCAACCAAAACTTTTTTATTCTCAATATGTAGATCATTTAAATCAATGGGGATTGCATTCCCCCTAATGTACCGCGCTAATTTTTGTATGGATAATGTGTATTTACACCTACGTTGTGCAGACACATTTTGAAGCCCGTAGCTGTAACCGTTTCCAAGATATACGCATATTACATGTTCAGAAATTTTGAGGTATGTTTACTCTTGATGCTATAACTCCGCATCCACGAGGAATTTTAAAAGTTTATATAGCCTATGTTACTTTCAGGGCATACCCCGACATACAGTGTAAATCTCATTAAGATCTGTTCTGCGGTTTTGGCGTCTATCGGTAACATACAAACAAACAAATTTTTTTCTATTTTATATATGTAGATAAAAAGTCTACGCCTTATATAGGCCGCTGCAAAAATTAGTTATTTAAGGAATCCATGCCTTATATAGGCCTTGGAAAAAAATTATTTAAAAAAATCCATAAAGCGTGGATTTTATATAGGTCGCTGAAAAACTTATTTAAAACATGCTAGCCTTTTATAGGCCGCTGAAAATTTTGGAAGGGTTAATAATAAAATGTCCATAATTTCCCCATCTGCTTTAAAATACAATACTTCAATAAAATATATTAAAAAACCGAGTGTTTATTATTGGTAAAAATTATTTATTTTAAGGTACACATTATAGAGTAAAGATGAGTAGACCGTTTTCAATGGATATGCCTCTCAAATCACAAAATATATATATATTTCTTAAACAATAAGTCTAATCGATGTTTAAAGTACACACAAGTATATGCATATAAAATTCTAAATATTTATTGCTTATTTCTTAATTTAGCACACAGGTCCGTAACATCTTTCCGCAAAACTTTACCAGAAGCCGTTAGCGGCAATTTGTCGAAGAAATAAACCCCACCGTCTAAATTTTCAAAGTGTTGCATACGCTTTGCAACATATTGACTGACGTCGGCTTCAGTAATATTTGCACCCTGTCTCTTTACAATTGCAGCTGCAGGCAAACTATCGTAAGTAATATCTGGAATACCGACAACACAAACTTCGGCAACGTCCGGAATTTCATAGATCACAGTTTCAATAGCGGTGGGTGAAAAATGGAAATTATTATATTTTAGAATGTCTTTGCGACGATCCACCACGTAGAAATTTCCTTCGTCGTTGAAATAGCCGATATCACCGCTACGTATCCAACCATCTTCAATGTAGGTTAAGCGTGAAGCTTCCGGATTACAATAATATCCTGAGCTGGCATATTTGGTACGTATGTAAATTTCTCCCGTTTCATTGGGTCCCAAATTCTCTCCATTATCACTTACAATGCGAACTTCTACATTGTGGACCAATTGGCCTACTTTATTGCTGGCATCCAATATGCCGCGGCTTACAGCACCACATAACTCCGTCATGCCGTACACAATGGGAAATTCACAATTCACGGCATATTCTTTGAATTTGGATACCAAAGAATAGGGTAGTGTTTTGCCGGCGACAAATAAAGTTTTAAGACTGGTCAAATCGCTGGCCGCCAATATTTCGGGACAGGACAAACACAAGGGGATGTGGGATGGCGAACAGGCGGCAATTTCTATTTTATGTTTTTGGACAATTTCACAAAAAGCCTGGGGTGAAAATGGATTTTCCGTTATAACACGAGTTTTTTGGGTATTTACAATACCCATGAACCAAAAGACGCCACTAAATACAAGGAGCTTGGCAGAACGGCGATGGCTGCAAAGAGAGATTTGGTTTAAGGGAAATATTTGGTGAAAATATTTTAGATGACTTACACACCCATCCGGTAGAGAATAGCATAGTGGGACATGCGCACCACATTGGGTAGATTTGTTGATCCTGAGGTACACAAATAAAATGCATCCTGTCGGGCGCCATGTTTAAGTGGTGGTAGCCTAAAAGATTTATTAAAATTAGAGTAACTTCGGGTAATGTGGACCACCATTTTCTTTTTTTGATATTGTGGGCGTAACAACGGTAAAAAATAAAAACAAATTGTTTTCACAGCATGGTAGATTTGTTGGCTAATTATATTCCAGGTCAAAAATTATATATATTTGTCCATAAAAATGTTATTGCATTATATTTCAAAAAGCTCTAAACTGCAAATAAAAACCAGTAAGGAAAGTAGTAAAGTCGGACGGGGCCGACTATATGATACCCTTCACCACTATGGATATATTAAACAGGACTGTTAACATGAAATTGGATGAAATAAAATATGTGATATTTATCTAAATGTGAATCTACCTATATATCCATAAGTTATATAAATCGACTTCAGTCAAATATAAATAGGTTATCTGTTGGGCTATGTCTGTACTTCTAGAAAACGCAACTACGTAGTTCTATGCTCAATTTTGTACGTTGTGCAAAAATTGATGTCAACCTGACTAGCATGAAGAGTTTGATGTCCAATTTACTTAAAATCGGGCGAAAATATATATGGAAGCTCTATCCAAATATATCGAAGGATATATAGGGACTTTGGTGCACCATTTACATGAAATCGGACGAAACTATATCTGAATCTGGGCCGATTTTCTCGAAACTGGGCAGACATCATTCTAGGCTCAATTCAGTACGTTATGCCAAATTTCCTGCAAATCGAAAGATATATAGGGACTTTGGGGCACCATTAACATGAAATCGGACGAAACTATATATGGGAGCTATATCTAAATCTGGACCGATTTTCGCGAAACTGGGCAGACATCATTCTAGCCTCAATTCAGTACGTTATGCCAAATTTCATGCAAATCAAAAGATATATAAGGACTTTGGTACACCATTTACCTTAAATCGGAGGAAGATATATACGGGAGCTATATCTAAATCTGAACCGATTTTCACGAAACTTTGCACACATCATTCTAGACTTAATTCAGTGCGCTATGCCAAATTTCGTGCAAATCGAAAGATATATAGGGACTTTGGTACGCCATTTACCAAAAATCGGCCGAAACTATATATGGGAGCTATATCTAAATCTGAACCGATTTTCACGAAACTTGGCACACATCTTTCGTGGCTCAATTCAGTACGCTATGCCAAATTTCGTGCAAATCGAAAGATTTTCAGGGTCTTAAGTCCGTAAATCGGGCAAAAATATATATGGGAGCTATATCTAAATCTGAACCGATTTTTCCAAATTTCAATAGGGTTCGTCATTGGGCCAAACAAATGAGCTGTGTCAAATTTCATACAATTCGTATCATAAATGCCACCTGTACTTTGTTTACAATTTAACATGGACAGACGGACGGACGGACGGACGGACATGCATAAATCTATGCATATTCTCAAAAGGAACCATGGGTCTATCTCGATTATTTTTGCCTGTTACAAACATATGCACAAAGACATAATACCCTGTACCACAGTGTGGTGAAGGGTATAAAAACTTGGCGGGTAATGTGGACCAGTATGTGTGGGTAATGAGGATCAGTAAGTTAAAGGTAGTTTGTGGATTAATTGTGATAAATTTCAATTTATTGCAGTCATGGGTAACAATGAATGCAAAAATATATGGGTCCATGTTTTGGAATAGCCCCCAATTAAGGGTACCACCCCATTTGCGGTATTTTGAAGGTCCTTGCTTCATTATCCAACCGAGGCACCTATAATTTCGGATATCGAGTTTTCAGAGGATAGAATACCTCCTCGCATATTAAATGCGCCCTTGTTTCGAACTCGTCCTCATGAAAATGTCCCACTTTTTTATAGTGGTCCACATTACCCGACATTGAATATTTTTATTTAAAAATAATTATCGGCTTCAAAAATGAATAAAAATTTAAAAATAACCGAAAGTAATTACAGATAAACGTGTATTTTTGTTAAAGAAAACAAGAAAACCACATAACCTCTTTATATTTGAGAAAAACAAAATGTTCGACTATGTTACAAAATCGTTCGACTATTGTGCTAAAAAATTTTCAAGTCACACTTTTAAAATCGGAGCTACATTTTCACCTACTAAATTTTCAACATTGCAATTATTTATTAAAAACCAAGTTTGATGTTTGTTTTCACTAATTAGGAAAACATTTATCAAGGCGGCATTGGCATATTTCAAGCATTTTCTTAGATATGGGGGTGGTCCACATTTGACGCATGGTCCACATTACCAGAAGTTACTCTAATAAATGGAAAATTTATTTGGATAATTAAATGAATTAGATAAGGGAGAAAGACATTTTAAAGGAAACTATAAAGTATATTTGGGTTACTCTGTTTATGAGAAGCTAGATAAGATAACATTTTGTTAAAAATAAAGTGGATGATGATACGGAAGTTTAAATATGACCAAAGCTAACAAGTTAATCTATTGAGTAAATATAATTTAAGAAATGTAAATAGAACAATGGAAAGTGTTTTGGGAATGTTCACTAAGTGTGTCATCATTTGATATTTCAGGGGTAAGCATGAATGTGCAGTTATTCAAGGTTACGTATAAATTCGTGGATGTTTGTTTTTTGTTTTATCTCAAACTGAACTATTACATGATTTGGTCGAGAAGAAAAAATAAGCTATAAAAAATTGGTTGTAAGTTGAAGGAAATTTATTAGATTCAATAATATGTCATCATATATTTTTAAAAAAATCCACGCCATTATGTGAAACATGAAAAACTATGAAAAATCCACCCCTATATACACCACGAAAAATTATTTTTAAAAAATCCACGCCTTTATATGGACCATGAAAAAAAAAAAATAAAAAACCCACGCCTATATATCTACGATAAAAAATCCACGCCTATGTATGGAATATAACAAATATTTTTAAAAAATCCATTCCAACACATGTACAAAATATATTTTTAAATAATCAATTCCCACACATGCACATTGAAAATATATTTTTAAAAAATCCACGTATCTACATGGACATTGAACAAATATTTTTAAAAAAATATTAATTGGACGATAAAAAATATTAAAACAAGTGAAAAAGCGTTAAGTTCGGCCGGGCCGAACTTTGGATATCCTCCACCATCGATATACTGACAGGTACTTGAAATGAAAATATAGGGAAATTACCAAAGAGTGGACCTATATCGAAATTTCCACTAACCGGTTATGTAAACCAAAATGTAAACTATAAAACAAATTTCAGAAATTTTTAATGGACAATTATACCCACATCTTTATGGATAATGAGGGTGTATACACTTTGGCACGGTTAAAATCGTTCTAGACCCCATGTTTCTTTGGACCAAATTTGTTTCAGAAAATTTTGATTTCATCCAAACTTTGGCCATCTTATTATTTCTTTCAAACATAGTTCAAGTTCGAAGATGGGGAATATCGGTCCACTCCTTCTGGTACCCCAACACAGGGGCTAGGTCTAAATACGGGTTCATATATAGTTCATTATCGAACCTTTCGTTCTAGTTTTTTATCTCAATATCCTCCGCTGGTGAAATGATTACAACAGAGTCTTAGAACCAAACCCAAAACGCAGAACAAATTACATAATTATTTCAATATAAAACAAGTAAGGAAAGCAGTAAAGTCGGACGGGGCCGACTATATGATACCCTTCACCACTTTCGGTATATCCAACAGATGAAACCTAAAAGACGTCGAATTTTTAAAGGACCAGGGACAAAATTATGAAAATCTATTATAAGCGTATATATATATATATCGGACGATATATATGGAGCTATATCTAAATCTGGACCGATTTTCACGAAACTAAACACACATTCATTAATTCATTACGCAATGCCAAATTTCGTGCAAATCGAAAGATATATAGAGACTTTGGTGCACCATTTACCTTAAATCGGACGAAACTATATATGGGAGCTATATCTAAATCTGAACCGATTTTCTCGAAACTTGGCACACATCATTCTGGACCTAATTCAGTACTCTGTGCCAAATTTCATGCAAATCAAAAGATATAGAGGGACTTTGGTGCCCCAGTTACCTTAAATCGGACGAAACTATATATGGGAGCTATATCTAAATCTGAACCGATTTTCTCGAAACTTGACACACATAATTCTGGACCTCAGTCAGTACTCTGTGCCAAATTTCATGCAAATCGAAAGATATACAGGGACTTTGGTGCCCCATTTACCTTAAATCGGACGAAACTATATATGGGAGCTATATCTAAATCTGAACCGATTTTCTCGAAACTTGACACACATCATTCTGGACCTCAGTCAGTACTCTGTGCCAAATTTCATGCAAATCGAAAGATATACAGGGACTTTGGTGCACCATTTACCCTAAATCGGAGGAAACTATATATGGGAGCTATATCTAAATCTGAACCGATTTTCTCGAAGTTTGGCACACATCATTCTGAACCTAATTCAGTACTCTCTGCCAAATTTCATGCAAATCGAAAGATATAGAGGGACTTTGGTGCCCCATTTACCTTAAATCGGACGAAACTATATATGGGAGCTATATCTAAATCTGAACCGATTTTCTCGAAACTTGGCACTCATCATTCTGGACCTAATTCAGTACTCTGTGCCAAATTTCATGCAAATCGAAAGATATAGAGGGACTTTGGTGCCCCATTTACCCTAAATCGGAGGAAACTATATATGGGAGCTATATCTAAATCTGAACCGATTTTTCCCAATTTCAATAGGGTTCGTCCTTGGGCCAAATAAATGAGCTGTGCCAAATTTCAGCCAAATCGGATTATAAATGCGACCTGTACTTTGTTTACAATTTAACATCAACAGACGGACGGACAGACGGACGGACGGGCATGCATAAATCGACTCAGAAAGTGATTCTATGCATATTCTCAAAAGGAACCATGGGTCTATCTCGATTCCTTTTGCCTGTTACAAACATATGCACAAAGACATAATACCCTGTACCACAGTGTGGTGAAGGGTATAAAAAGGGGGTTAAATGGGGACTACCCCAAAAAGGGGCTGCATGTTAATAATTTTTTGTAGGGAAATTTTTTACCATATACGACTACAAAATACAAAATTTCAGCGAATTCGGTTGAAAAACGTGCTCAAGAACCTCAAAATAGCGAAAATTGGGGGTACCCTTATATGGGGCCAACCAGAAAAATTGAACCTATATTTATAATTTTTGGTGGAGATATTTTGAACCCAATAAGAACCAAATGTGCCTGCCTGCAGACAAAAGATTTTTTTTTTTGGTGGAGATATTTTGAACCCAATAAGAACCAAATGTGCCTGCCTGCAGACAAAAGACGACTCTATGCAAAATTTTGGCGCTCTATCTCAATTCGTTTAGACGCTAGAGTGATTACAACAGACAGACAAACAGACAGACGGACATGCTTAGATCGTCATAGAATTTTACGCTGATCAAGAATATATATACTTTATAGGGTCGGAAATGATTATTTCGATGCGTTACAAACGGAAAAACAAAACTAATATACCCTCCATACTATGGTGGAGGGTATAAAAATTAGACGATGAAATCATATGAAAAAATATTTTTAAAAATCCACGCCTACATATGAACCATAAAAAAATATTTTTAAACCAGTACTAAACCAGACTATATGATACCCTTTACAACTATGAATACATACAAGAGATGATAATATATACAATATCCTGTAGAGAGAGGACCATTGAAATGGAATGGGGTGAAACTAAATGTGTGATCTACATAGATATTTGAACCAATTAAAAACTCATGAAATTTATTGAATCTGAAATTGTATTTCAATCGCACTCATTTGTGTACCATTTGTATGAAATAGAGCAAAATAATGTATTTGGAGCTATATGCAAATCTGGACCTAATTGAACAACCGTGGCATATACCGTTCGGTATGCTGCAGCACAGAGCGCTGTACACAATTTTATCTCGTGTATCATATAATCGGATAAACTATATATGGGAGAAATATATCTAAAACTGAATCGATTTCATCAAAACTTCACGTACATCAAACTGGACCTAATTCAGTATGCTAGGCAAAATTTTGTCTCAATCTGAAAAATATAGGAAGTTTGGTGCACCATTTACATAAAATCGGACGAAACTACATATGGGAGCTACATCTAAATCTGAACCGATTTTCACGAAACTTAGCACACATCACTCCAGACTTAATTCCGTACGCTGTGCTAAAATTCGTGCATATCGAAGGATATATAGAGACTTTGGTGCACCATTTACATAAAATCGGACGAAACTATATATGGGCGCAATATCTAAATCTGAACCGATTTTCACGAAACTTAACACACATCATTCTAGACTTAATTCCGTACGCTTTACCAAATTTCGTGCAAATCTAGAGGTATATAGGTACTTTGGTGCACCATTTACCTTAAATCGGACGAAAATATACATGGAAGCTATATCTAAATCTGAACCGATCTTCATAAAATTTAAAACACATCTTTCTAGACTTAATTTAGTACGCAATGACCAATTGCGGACAAAAAGAATGGTATATAGGTACTTTGGTGCACCATTTACCTTAAATCGGACGAAAATATACATGGGAGCTATATCTAAATCTGAATCGATTTTTCCCAATTTCAATAGGGTTCGTCCTTGGGCCAAATAAAAGACCAATGCTAAATTTCATCCAATTCGAATCATAAATCCGACCTGTACTTAGTTTACAAGTTAACATGGACAGACAGACGGATGAACGGACATGCATAAATCGACTCAGAAAGTGATTCTATGCATATTCTCAAAAGGAGTCATGTAACTATCACATTTCCTTTTGCATGTTACAATCATATGTACAAAGACATAATACCCTGTACCACAGTGCGGTGAAGGGTATAAAAATCCACGTCTATATGTGGACCATGAAAAAATATTTTTAAGAAATCCACGCTTATTTATGATCCCAAGAGAAATATTTAAAAAAAATCTACACATAGTTTCGAATAATTCAAATGAAATATTTTGATTTTAAGAAGAAATCACTTGATGTTGGGCGCCATTTCCTTTAGACTTAATAATTATACTGTTTCCAATAAAAAATACTCACTTAAAAACTTCATCCACATTCTTTTCGTTCAATAGTTCCATAACAGTTGGCACACCCTCAATATGATTACATACCGTATAGATAGGAGTATTTTCAAGACCGCTCTCCACTAAACATTGGCGTATTTTGTCATAGACAACACCATCACAAAACTACTTAGGCAAAGGCCAGAAAATATGGTACCAAAGAATACCGGTGCTACGTAATCACAATTGCCTGAACACACACCAACAACATCAGTTTGTTGTAAATTTAATTTGCTAAAATTAATTGCCACACTGCAGGCCAGCTCGGCCATTTGTTTGTTGGTAATTTCCTTGCCACTTTGATGGCAGAGCTGAACATAAAAAAATCACTATGTTAGGGATGGATATAAAATCGATTTGTTTTTCATGTTTACCTGTACTACATGATCAGGATACTGATGCATTGCGTCCAATACAACTGCTCCAATTGAATCTTCTAAGGTATAACGTGATTCTGATATTGGTCCTCGCCAGATTTTTGTTTCCGCATTGTAATGGGTTTTGCTTACAGCCATATTGGGGCGTTAGATGTGCTTAGATTTCCTTATGTCGAATAACTGAAAAACGTTTTTAGGGGCATAGCATATTTATGTTGAAACTATAACGTCAATGAATGACCTGATAACCATAAGAACTTCTAGATAAGGAATATTTATTTTCCTTTCCTGATTAGAGTTTTGAGTTTTTGAAGATCTATCACCATAAAGACAATATCAACAAGTTAAGTGTGTAAAAAATTTCCTCTCAGTGAGGAAGGCACGTGTGGACAATACAGTAGTATTCGATGACAATTGATTGGTTAGATAGTATGTTTTCAATAAATATGCGGGCATGACTAGACAAAAATAGTGTTCAGAATTAGTTTACTAATTAAACATGATTAATATCTTCTTCTTCTATCTATCTTCTTTGTTATATATAAAAATGAATTGCTGTTCGTTAGTCTCGCTGAAACTCGAGAACGGCTGTACCGATTTTTCTTATCTTAGTCTTGAAATGTTCGTGGAGCTCCTGGGAAGGTTTGAAAGGCAAAATTTTTTTAAAACAATATTATGAAGCATATTTGAATTTCCATGAATAATATATATTTTTTAATATACATCGATATATTTTGATTGCACTACGTAATAGATGTTATTTTGGGATAAAAATGATGATGGCTCATTCATCAAAGCCTCCATTATTTGTCAATTATTGAAAATTTTCAAAATATTTTATTTATTTTTCTACCCTTAACCACACTGTGGTACAGGGTATTATGTCTTTGTGCATATGATTGTAACAGGCAAAAGGAAACGAGATAGACACATGGTTCCTTTTGAGAATATGCATAGAATCACTTTCTAAGTCGATTTATGCATGTCCGTCCATCCGTCCGTCTGTCTGTCCATGTTAAATGGTAAACAAAGTACAGGTCGCATTTATGATCCGAATTGGATGAAATTTGGCATAGGTCACTTATTCGGCCCAAGGACGAATCCTATTGAAATTGGGAAAAATCGGTTCAGATTTAGATACTGCTCCCATATATATATTTAACCGATTTAATGTAAACGGTCCCTATATATCTTTCGATTTGCACGATATTTGGTCTAGAATGATGTCTGCCAAGTTTCGTGAAAATCGGTCCAGATTTACATATAGCTCCCATATAAAGTTTCGTCCGATTTCATGTAAATGGTGCACCAAAGTCGCTATATATCCTTCGATTTGCACTAAATTTGGTATAACGTACTGAATTGAGCCTAGAGTGATGTCTGCCAAGTTTCGAGAAAATCGGTCCAGATTTAGATATAGCTCCCATATATAGTTTCGTCCGATTTAAGGTAAATGGTGCACCTAAGTCCCTATATATATCCTTCGATTTGCACTAAATTTGGTATAACGTACTGAATTGAGCCTAGAGTGATGTCTGCCAAGTTTCGAGAAAATCGGTCCAGATTTCTATATAGCTCTCATATATAGTTTCGTCCGATTTCATGTAAATGGTGCCCCAAAGTCCCTATATATCTCTTGATTTGCACGAAATTTGGCATACCGTACTGAATTGAGCCTAGAGTGATGTCTGCCAATTTTCGAGAAAATCGGTCCAGATTTAGATATAGCTCCCATATATAGTTTCGTCCGACTTCATGTAAATGGTGCATCAACGTCCACATATATCTTTACTAAATTGAGCCTAGAGTGATGTCTGCCTTGTTTCGTGAAAATCGGTCCACGTTTGTTTGAAATGCCATATATATTTTAGTCCGATTTCAAGTAAATTGGGCATCAAACTCCTCATGTTAGTCAGATTAACATCAAATTTTGCACAACGTACAAAATTGAGCATAGAATTACGTAGTTTCGTTTTCTAAAAGTACAGACATAGCCCAACGGATGACCTATTTATATTTGTTTGAAGTCGATTTACATACTTTATTAATAGATCTAGGTAGATTCACATTTAGATAAATATCCCCTATATTATTTCATCCAATTTCATGTTAATAGTCCTGTTTAATATACCCATAGTGGTGAAGGGTATCATATAGTCGGCCCCGTCCGACTTTATTACTTTCCTTACTGGTTTTCAATTGGATTGACAGTGTATGAAAACTATTTTATGTGAGAATACAAATAAATAATACAATAAATAATAATAATAAATAATTGAGAAGTATATCATTGAATATACACGTGATCATGTTGTCCATAAAATGCACGTAAACCGCAAGGATGAAAATCTGGAGACATTCAGAATTGAGTTCTGATTCTAAGATCCATGACTAAGATTATTTTTCTTTAAGATACTAATAATACTAGTTCCATAAAAATAATATTCAAAACCCGCCACATTGGGTTTTACTTCATTCAATGCTGTTGCACTTATTAGAGTATTCGTTAGCCATAAATAGTTTAAAGATTTTAATTTTATTTTTAAATTCAGTTTTTATTTTAATATTTTAGATATTATTACATTACTCCACTTCTAAGATTTCTGTACAGTCCAGTATTCCGGATCCATAAGAAGTGATCTGCAAATTAAAAATTGTAAAAATTATAAATCATGGAAAGCAACCTTATTAAAACGACCTACTTCATTTCGAAAACTTTCTTTCTAAATTCGGAACTTAACTCAGCCATGGTACCAGCATTGCCACCATATTCCTTTGGTAAAATTTCACGTGGTAAGCTTTCATAGAGACTCTCCAGACCGTTGGTGTGACATTTAATCTAGTAAAAAATGTGTTAAGTTCTTAATATTTTCCGTTATCAAAAGATTTTTAATATTATCACTTACCATCTCATATAATTCCTTGCTCATAAATGGTCTTAAAAAGCCCAAAATTTTATTTATATACGATGGACAATTAATCATATGTACCGCTTGCATACGATTCGGATAGGCCTGATAGAGATATTTGAAGAAAACACTCAAGGTACCCATAGACAATGCGGCTACATGTTTCATGGTAATGCCCTCCATATCGATGATAATGATTTCACCCTTGGAAAGTTGCCCATTGTTATTTTCCAATATCACATCCGGTTGCAGAAAATGACAATCACCAATCATTACATAGGTTTTTATGTCTTCCGTGAAATGTATCTGAAAATATAAAAATTTGGTCGACACTTTTAAATATAGGTGGACTTTGTGGTACAGGGTAAATGAGATTATCGGTGAATTTGTCCACAAATAATGGCGATCCAAAAATAATTCAATTAAAATAATCTCACCATTTTAGTATCCAAGTTATGAAAGTGTATACAGGTGATGTGATAACTTTCGGGTGTCAATTGGCTCAGTGGAGCAATGTGCCTGTTAAAAAAAAAACAAATCAAAATTATTTGTTTACATATATGATATATTACAACCCTTATATACATACAAATATTTATACATATTATCAGTATCGACATCACTTGGATCCCGTTTGATGAAAATCTTTGGATTTTTAAGCCGCAAGGTATAATAGAGTTCCAGTAATTTTTTAGTTTCCTCTATGTCTTTTGATGATCGTTGATAAAGACGCCATAGTAAGGTGCGATCTGAAAATGATTTCGATAGTTTAGTAAGTTGTTTTGCGGTATTAATACCCGATAAGGATGATGCTTGATGATATCCATGCCTATACATGGAAAATGGAAAAAAAATATATATATGGTCGATAAAAATTATTTTTAAAAAATCCACGCCTATAATTGGACTATGAAACATTATTTTTAAAAAATCCACGCCTATAATTGGACTATGAAAAATTATTTTTAAAAAATCCACGCCTATAATTGGACTATGAAAAATTATTTTTAAAAAATCCACGCCTATAATTGGACTATGAAAAATTATTTTTAAAAAATCCACGCCTGTAATTGGACTATGAAAAATTATTTTTAAAAAATCCACGCCTATAATTGGACTATGAAAAATTATTTTTAAAAAATCCACGCCTATAATTGGACTATGAAAAATTATTTTTAAAAAATCCACGCCTATAATTGGACTATGAAAAATTATTTTTAAAAAATCCACTCCTCTATTAAGACCCTGAAAAATTATTTTTAAAAAATCCACGCCTCTGTTAAGACCCTGAAAAATTATTTTTAAAAAATCCACGCCTCTATAAAAAAAACGATAACGATAAAAAATATTTTTATTTTTTTAGGTAAGCCAGCTTAATCCCTTTTTCGTTGTTTTAAAAGATAAAAACAACAAGATTTTTATTTTTAAAGTGGGTTATTGTCACATTGATTACATTCGGGAAAGGCAGAGAAGACTATAGTTACGGATTTCGCCACAAATCCTCATATGTTCTCTTAGTTATACCCTTCACCACATTGTGGTACAGGGTATTATGTCTTTGTGCATATGTTCGTAACAGGCAAAAGGAAACGAGGTTTCCAAATTGGATGTAATTTGGCACAGCTCATTTGTTTGGCCCAAGGACGAACCCTATTGAAATTGGGAAAAATCGATTCAGATATAGATGTAGCTTCCATATATATTTTCGTCCGAGTTAATGTAAATTGTGTACCAAAGTCCCTATATATCTTTCGATATGCACGAAATTTGGCATAGCGAACTGAATTAAGTCTAGAATGATGAGTGTTAAGTTTCTTGAAAATCGGTTCAGATTTTGATATAGCTCCCATATATATTTTCGGCCGATTTAATGTAAATAGTTCACCAGAGTCCCTCCACGTACTGTATTGAGTCTAGAATGATGTGTGTAAAATGTCTTGAACCTCGGTTCAGATTTAGATATGGCTTCCATATTTATTTTCTTTCGATTTTATGTAAATGGTAAACCAAACTCCTCACGTTTCTAGTATTGACTTGAAATTTTGAACAACGTATAAAATGACATAATTGCTTTCGTGTTAATTCGTGTTCATATTAATTGGGCTCCAAATATTCAACGGGTACCCGATTGATATTTTTTTGGAATCGATTTACATACTTTTGTCCCATTGTAACAAACGAATGGCATTTTTATGGATTGATCTAAGTCGGTTCACATTTATAAAAGGT